AAATTTTTGAACTTTATTAATGCTAAAACATTTAAGGTGAGATAACAAAGAAATCTTCATTCAAATCCACGCCTATTAACGACTTCTTGTGGAAATGATAATTTGAATCTTACAAGAAAGATAAGGTGAGATTGTGAGAATAACTAATACCAAGTCTATACGTATGAATTTTATTTATGAGATTAGATAAAGCTAGAAGACTAAGGAAAAGAGGTAATAAATTAGATTTAGGATGTTTTCTTTTAGACTGCAAGTTGCTGGTCTGATGTGGTCTGGTCTGTTTAAGTGTGGTCTGGTCTGTTTAAGTGTGGTCTCTATGTATTTTATAATTGTTCAAGTGTGATCTGCTTTGATTTGTTTAAGTTATGGCGTGACTTAAAAAACACAAACCCATATTTAAGGGTCTCATATATGAAGATTTCATCCTTAAAACACAAACCTTTAAAAAGGTGACGTGGCATCATCCTAAATCTAAATGAAGATTTCACTCCGTTATCTCACCCGGGGCACCAGCCCTTTTACGCATATACATGTGGCTTTTCTGTTCTGCTTAATTATTAAAACCCTCCAGCCTCTTGTTTAAGGCAGTCCTAAGACATCATTGAAGGAAATAAAGAAACGGGAGTAAGACGGCGATGAGTTCTTCGAGTGCTGAGTCCTGGTCGATGGATGCAAGAAGACGAATCAAGAGGTGTGACTGTGGACTCCAAGCACCAGTGTGGACTGCTACAACAAACAAAAATAGGGGGGAAAGATTTTATGGGTGCGGTCGTTTCTTGAGTGGTCAAAATTGCAAATTCTTTGAATGGGTTGAGGATGAAGAATGTGGTACTTGCCTGAGACGGATAGAGACCTTGCTATAGAAGGTTACCAGTGTTGAAGAGAATTTCCGAATGAAAGAATTAGAGATGCAAGCTGAAATCAAGAGTTGTCTTCGTGGGATTGGTCTTTTGAAACTCCAAAATATGGAAGAGGAACTTAAGATGTCAAAGAAAGGCAATGGGACTTTCTCCTGGAATGTAGTGTGATTCGGGTTGTTTGTTATCATCTTGCTGGGAAGTAGGATATATAAGCAGATGTTAGGTATTGTGTGGTTGTATGTGGATACTGATTTGGTTGTTGAATTTGGTTATATTGTTGTAATGAAGATTATGAATTTGGTTTTCAAGCTTATGGTCTTTTTGAAGCTTTTGTTGTTAATGATCAAGTTGATGGGAAGCATATGTGTATAACGTAGTTTGTCTTCTCATCCATTTGTGGATCCATTTTTCTCATCTGAACAATACGCCGCCACGTATCAAAGATTCTTTAAACTCATTCCTTATTGTGATTATTGGCCGGCTTACTATGGACCTAAAAGTGTGCATGATCCATCCATGATTCGCGCTAAGGGAAGACCTAAGTCCACATGTATTAAGAATGAGATGGATGAAGGTCCCCGAGGAACGGTTAGATGTGGAATATGTAAACAAACCGGCCATAATAGTAAAATATTCCAAATTTGATAGTAACGGTGCATAAAAAAAATCATTAGTAAAATATTAATTAAAATAAAATAAAATAATAAAAAATTAAAAATTAACTAATATCCTTTTATTTTTTGTAGGCATGGAGGTGACAGCGGATCCTGGGCCGAGTGATCGTTCTGTCCTAACATTGCAGGCCTCGCACAGGAGTGAGGATGTGTGGGTTGGCCTCGATGTTCAGGTGGATAGGTGGCACGACAAAGTACTTCCACATGTTCGTGCTGTGGGTTTTTATGGTCTGCATAGATTGGTGGCTACTATCCCTCTCGATAGAGCGCTACTCACTGCTCTTCTTGAGCGTTGGAGGCAGGAGACAAACACGTTTTACCTCCATGTTGGTGAAGGGACAGTGACCTTGGGAGATGTTGCTGTACTGACTGGGTTACAGGTCCATGGGAGAGCTGTTACTGGTACTGCTTGTCAACAGTGGGTTGATGAGTGTGAGCGTTTGTTGGGTGTTCGCCCCCTTCTTCGGGTTGACCTTCAGGGGTCATCTCTGAAGATGCCATGACTGAGGGAGCATTTCGCTATTCTTCATGCGGACGCTGATGAGGTGATGATCTAGCAGCATGCATGAGCATATATTTTGATGATATTGGGAGCTTCCATTTTCGCTGACAAGAGCGCTAATGAGGTTCAGGTGCTGCACTTGCCTATGCTAGAGAGGTTTGATGTAGCCGCACAGTTCAGTTGGGGTAGTGCCACGCTGGCTTATCTCTACAAACAGCTGTGTCACGGTTGCGATAGAGGGAGCACAGAGCTTGGAGGATTTTTGCTTCTTCTCCAAATTTGGTCATGAGAGTACATCCACATTGGGCGTCCCATTATAGTGGCATACCATGGCATTGATGGACACCCACTACCCGATGAGCCTCCACATCTCCTGGGACCACATCATGTATGGGGCGAGAACCCTCTGGGTCGTCGGTATGTTTTCAATCGTTTGAATTTATGTTATTGTATGTTGAATATAAATATATTCATAATATTCACATTAATATATGCTACATGAATGGTTAGATGGCTATTTGCTGATCTATGTCACACATCATCGGCTTCTGGGCTCGGTGTGTACAGGGATGCGTTTGATCGGATGTCTGAGGATCGGGTATGGTGTGCGTAATATAACATTAACTATAATATCTATAGCATAAATACTAATATTGTATCTTTATGAAACAGATTACTCACAAAAAAATGAAACAGATTACATGGATGCCGTATACTGCTGAGATGTTTGCAGATTTATTCCCCGTTGGACGAGAGCATTCTCACATATGCCGAGCACGTGTGCCATTGATATGCTTTGACATTGTTGAGCTTCATTTACCTGATCGTGTATTGCGACAATTTGGGTATGAGCAGGTCATTCCAGCACCTATCGACACATATGTAGACCTTCATAGGTTGGATAGGCGTGGGAAGCATACAGAAGATTGGGCATTCACACATTTCCACCTCTAAACTCTTTTATAATGTGTTGATGTGTTCGATTATGAATATTAGATGACTACTGTGTTATGAATATTGAGTTATTGTAATGTGTTGTATCTGGTTCGTAACCCCTAAATAGGAGAAATGAGACCTTAATTGTTTATATTAAGGGGTAAGTCGCCAAACGGTTGGGTGACTTATAAGTCGCAAAACGGTTGGGTGACTTACCCCGACCATGGTTAATCCCAGCTCGATAAATACTTTTTAACCCAGTATTATTTTCGTAATTAATTAATTAATTAGCCTTAATTCGAAAAAAACTCATTGTTTTCTTCCTTAATTATATACTCCCTCCGTCCCTTAAAACTTTGCCATCTTTCCTTTTTCGGATGTTCTAAAAAACTTTATCACTTTCTCTTTTAATCAATTATTTTGTGGTTTCTGTTATTTCTCTCTCCTATGTACAAACCTCAACCACACAGTTTTTACTTTATTATTCTCTGTGTCGGTCAACTTTGACAAAATTTTAAAAGATAAATTAACATCGATATAGTCCCACGGAAATTTAAAACCAAAAAATGAGCAACATGACACTATGCTGGAGTCAACCCAATCACAATAGAATATAATTACTCTTGTAAATACAAATGTTTGATAGATGTGACACTTTTATACTACCTATACAGGCTATACTATTTCAGTCTCATTGGACATTAACGATTTTGATTTGTGTGTGAAATAAGAAAAATAAATGTATGTCGGGTCGGAGTGTGGAGGCTCAGGAATGGAAGATTTCACCTATTGGATCAAGAAAAAGAAGTACTTCCTTTGTTTCCTTTTAATTGCAACAGTCAACATTTCAAGTTTGGCAACACATAAGTTTGACCATTAATATATTTCATTTCCTATTAGTAAAAAAATTTTAAAATTCATATTTTAAAAATTTAGAATTAGAAGAATTGAACAATATTTTTTAAAAATTTAATTTATAATACATTAATTAATAAAATATAGTCAACGTAGAATATATGAGTAGTGCTAAATGTCCAATGTTGCAATTAAATGAAAACAGTTTATTGAAATTTACATAAAGAAAAGTAAACATGACCAGAATTATAAATTACTTACTTTAATAAAAAAATTATATACTCCTTTCATCCAAAATAAATGATTCTATACATTTTGGGTTCAAATAGTAAGAAAGTGGGGTAGAATGACTGATATAACCTTACATTATTACTCTGTTCATTCCTTTACTTTTACTGTACATAAAAAGTGGAGGTATAAATGATAATCTACTTTGATTTCCTTTCCAAAACGGGAAACTAAACTATCATTTTGTGGCAGCCCAAAAATAAAATAGAGGACCATCATCTTGGGGCACCCAAAAATCCCAAAAATGAAATATAGAATCATCATTTTGGGAGATGGACTAACTAACAAAACAAAAGTAGGTAAAATTTAGGCTCAAGTATACTCAGAAATAGGTAAGCATTACATTGTGAATTGAACAAGGAAATAATAATGACTATAATGTTGCCTTTCCTTTGACATGCTGTTGCTGCTGCTTCTTGAGAAAGTGAGAAGTGTGTACTATATAACTATCTCAAGACCAAATTTCTTACCAATTCTTGTTTTTTCTTCCTAACTAACTCAACCAATCTATTTCTTCTTTTCATACTAACAATAATAATAATAATCACATTTCGATCGGTATTGATAACCCCATAATCATTTCACCCTTGTCCTCACACGCACAGTCCTTGTCCACTGCCGTGCTGACACGTAGCTTTCCCACCACCACAAAGAACTTCAGCCCGATGACAACTGGGCCCATCGTGTCTTCGCGGATCAAGACCGCTTTACACCCGTTTGTCCAATTCCACTGATTCCTCACCGCCGTCCCACTCCCCAACGGCAGCGTACAACCCCCCACAGCGCCCCTTCCCCATTTTGCCCGAACACTTCCCCACGCGCCTTCCGTTAAAGTGCCGTCACGCCTCGCTATAAATACCTCTCCCCTTACCCGACTTATACTCTCTCTTTGTCTCCATTCCTCATTCCTTCCTTCAATTCCTTCCTTCTTTATCTATATATTCATCAATCAACGTAAGGATTTCCGAAACCTTCTACGAGATTATGGTTGATGTTTTGCTAGTATAGCTATATAATTACTCCATAAGTTAACGTCAGGATTTCCGAAACCGACGCCGACATTACTTTACTGCCGGGAGGATTTGATCGATCGAATCTCCGATCTGGTTAACCGTCGCAACCGAAGTGGTCTCTGGAGATTCGTCGGAAGAGGATAATCGATCGGCCGACGGGTACGTACTACGTAAGTGTTTAGTTTTCCACTTTCCTGGTTTTAATGTACATGTTTGTTGTTCAAGTGTGGGGAACATCCGTAGTGGTTGATGTCGTCGAGGTGGTTGGGTGGGCGTACTAAGAAGGAGGTCTGTTTGTGCGGTGAGTTGTTGCTTTCGGTAGTGGACATATCGACTGCTGCTGCTGCATTGCAGCTGGATCGTACTACGTATGGAAGTTTGATTAGAATAAGAAATGATGAAATTATCGAACGTTTGATACGGATTAAGGAGTACATTATTGTACTCCGTAATTAGTTTATTACAACTCCGTACGTGTTCGGTGGTTCGATTGAGAGGGCCGATGAAGAAATGGTGTCAGAAACATGGATCTGAGTGAGCGTCGTGGGGTTTAAAGTAGAATGATGCGTTTTTTGTTTTTGTTTTTTTAGATTGATAATTCAATTGAATGAATGAAGGATTTAATTTAATTTAATTTAATTTAATTTTATCATCTGTTATCTTCTCCCAGGCTTTTGCTTTTTGTGTGGATTTCGGCCTTCCTTTTTGTTTGTTTGTTGGGAATAATTATTATATGCCGATCCATTCATACTCAAAACAACAAACAAGACGGCCATACTAAATGCTCAGACATCTACTGACTTTTTTGCTTTTTAAATTGGTGAAAACGTTTGTACTATTTCGCAGGAGCGGTTTTGATCGAGCTGTTGTTGTTTGTTGTTTTATATGAGGAATAAAATTAACATTAATTAATCGAAATAACAATTTCTTTTTTCACAGTGTGATCGACGATGTTGACGTGTATCACGTGTAAGCAAAAGATCGACGATGATGGAGGAGAGGAGGGCCCACGAGGGACGCCCCGATCGAAGGACTCCGTCAAAAGCCTGACGGCGCAGGTTCTAATCCTACACCCTACCCTACTATAGTAGTCTGTATACGTATATCAGAGAGCTGAGGGGGGAGAGAGATGGATGCATGCAAAGCAGCACATTGGAGCTACCCTACACTAGCATTTTTTCATTGCTTTTCTCTGCAGTTTTTCTTTATCCCTTGTTTGTGAAATGTTCGTGCCACTTTATTTCAATATTATATGAATCGTGGGGCCCGCCCGATGGGACCCCGTATCCTAGCTGATAGAAGGGTAGATCATAACTTTACATTAAAAATGCAAGTAAAACAGTCTTATCGATCACAACTATGAAATTAATCAATGTTTAAGGTTTTAGGCTGAAAAGATTTGAACGATAGAGTCATTATTGGGTATATTTAAAAGCTGGTAATTATTATTAGAGTTCTAATTCAAGATAAAGGGATGATTATATGCGTGTACATCAAGTAATTTTTTTAATAATCACATTAAGATAATAAAAGGAAAAAGAAAAAATAAACATACAGATCGGGTATCTTAAAGTGGGCCCAAACCACTTGGGCAGTCATCGTCTGCCTTGAGCCTTGGGCTAAAAACAGTAACACATCATTCAATTAATGTTTTTTATCTTTATTGGTGGTCCATTGTGTTCTTATTCATGAAATAAAAGAGAGAATTATCGGCCTTACATCGTCTTTAACCCGACCCGCCTGCTTGTGTACCTCTTTGTGGATCGTTCTTTCCATCAATGTTATGTTTTGAATATCCTTTTTTACTGTCCTGTGCATGCTTCTGACAATACAAAGAAATGACATAGTATTGTCTGTATACAAATTACGGAGTATAACCTTTATTTTCTTAGTAACAATACTAATTGTACTCTTTAAATCTTTAATTATTGTGTGTAATTACGTGCACATTTCATGATATAAGTATATACTTCTTGCTTAATTATAGCACATTTTCAACATGTAAGTCAATCATCCAAGTTAATAGCTATAGCACCTAGTCTTTCAGTAATGTTCATTAAGTGGATTTATTTTCCTTAAGAATTAATTAAAAATCCGGGTTTCACCGTGTTCTTTTAAGGTAATCTATCAACTCCTATTTCCTTTTTGGGTAAAAGGTAAAGATTAGGTAGCTTATACTACGTACTACGTAGTTTTTTCTCATGGGAACAACTTCCAACCAAAGAGTTTTAATTTTTTAGTTTCTGTGCCAAGTCAAACAGGATGTAATTTGGGAGAGAGGGAATATTAAAATGGTTTTAATATTGATCTTGAGATTGAATTTATATAATTATTATGTACAATTAGAGGTACTTATGATCAAATGATGTCTTGATATGCGTGAAAGTCAAATTGTTTAATAATATCTTGATAAGTGTGAAAGTCAATTATTAATTAAATAGAGTAGTTTTACTTTAATTTGGAAATAGTTACAAATGGTACTTTTACTAAATGATGTCTTTTATATAAGTTTCTTTTAATTGATAATTGATATACTCCCTCCAGTCCCAAATGAAATTCACACTTTCCTTTTTAAGTAGGTCCAAAATAAACTTAACACTTCTTCTCCTTTCTTTATTTGGCAAATTATCTACAGCCAAACAGTGTCAAACAGTGTCACTACAGTGTACTCTACAGTAAAGTCAAATTTATTTTCTTAATTTGTGTGAAGTCAAAGTGTGAATTTCATTTGGGACTGGAGGGAGTATAAAATGATGGTGAAACTTTTATTGTTAAACATGAAAGTCGACACTTCTTTCAATGGACAAGATTAGAAAATAAAAATTAAATGATGTTTAATTAATGTGAGTGTATTAGTTGCATATTAATGTTTTGATGTATCATGGGTTTATTTTATATTATTTTATTTTATGAAATAATTGTGATTGGGGATGCAGATAAAGGATATAGCATTGAAGGTGTCAGGTGCCTACAAATGCAAGTCCAGCACACCAACATACAGCAAAGGAGGACACCACAGACCATACCCGGACCTGGATACAATCTCAGAGGGGGTCCCACATCCCTTCCATCCCTCAAGCTCAAGCTCCACACCTGCTTGGGACTACACTAAAACTGGGTACCAGAACTCGAAGATGTCCATTGGGTGTGAGTCTGGAGTTGGGCTTGATGATGACAGTGAGCCCAAGGAGTGGATAGCCCAGGTGGAGCCCGGTGTCCAGATCACTTTCCTCTCTCTTCAAGGCGGCGGCAATGATCTCAAACGAATCCGTTTCAGGTAGGTTCTTTTTAATTAATTAATTAATCAATTATTACGCATGTAATTATTATTATTACTACATATTTTGTTATATACGTAGTATATTGTTAGAATAATAATTTTGTGGGGTTATAACAGCCGGGACATGTTTGACAAATGGCAAGCACAGAGATGGTGGGGTGAGAATTATGACAAAATTATGGAGCTTTACAATGTCCAGAGATTCAATCAGCAAGCATTTGAAACTCCTGCCCGTACTGAGGATGGGGTAAGCTCATTAGTGCATTGTTAAACTAATTAAATTAATACATTTTCAGTTTTATCCATTTTGGATTTCATCACATCAGTCCCAGTTTTGATATGTCTCTTAAAAGTTTCTTAAGTTTGACTCACACGTAAAAAAAATAAAATAAATATTGTGTTGAGTTTGTACAGAAAAGAGAAAATAACTAGAACCACGAATAAATTGATTAAAATGGAAAATTATAAATTTTGGAAACAACCAAAAACGAAAAGATAGACAAAATTATAAGGGAGGAAGAGAATATGTTTGTAAATCAAATCATCAATGATTTGGTCAATGTCCGTCCTTTGGGATTATTGTCAGTTTGCCAATTAATTTGAGTTTAGAGAAAATTCTCTAGGCAGGATGTAAAACATTACAAAAAAAGTCAATTAAATAGGATTATTCTGTACATTATTATCTTCTCAAAATAAGGTTCATACACTCCTAACTAAAGAAATTTTTATTCTTTTATTCTTTAAAAATAGTACTACTTCCGTCCCAAAATTATCTCCTTATTTGACTGGGTACGGATTTTAAGATAGTGAGAAATGTGTAGTGAAGAGTTGTGCAGAGGAAAGAGAAATGTGTAAGAATGGTTGTGAACCACAAATTCTTTGCCAAAAAAGGAAAGAGGAGACAAATTTGGGACGGATCGAAAACGAAAGAATGAAGATAATTCCGGGACGGAGGGAGTACTATATAAATTCTATTTTAGAAAGAAGTCATGCATATTTTAAACTTTGATTATGTTTTGGTCTATTTGGTCATTCTACTTTGGTTTATTTTGTTTAGCCCTAAGTCCCTAACCATTAGAGTTATTATGAGATTTATCACCCAGCTGTATATCATCATTTTCTATCATATTGCAGAGAGATTCAACATATTCTCGGCTGGGATTGGTGAGGGAGAGCCCGATGATGACTCCAGCGACAGCGCAAAGGAACTACTACAAAGCCGGGGGAGGAGGATACGGCGGAAACGCCATGGATTCGTCCAGAACCACCACCGACTCGAGAGAGGAAGCTTCCATTTCCGTCAGCAATGCAAGCGAGATGGAATCAGAATGGGTGGAAGAAGACGAGCCCGGAGTTTACGTCACCATCCGTCAACTCGCCGACGGCACTCGTGAGCTCCGCCGTGTCAGATTCAGGTACTGTCCTCACCTCACCTACCAACACTCAGATCAGCTCCATTTTTACTCTAATTTCTTAATCACTCACAAGCTAAAGCGTTTTATGATTTTGATCGAACAGCCGAGAACAATTTGGGGAGGTGAATGCCAAGGCTTGGTGGGAACAGAACAGGGATAGGATACAAGCAACATACCTTTAGGACTACTACTACTTCAAAAATACAAAAACAAGAACAAAAAAGCTTCTGAGTTCTACCTAAGGTAGTCAGTCAAGTCCTCTATCACACATTTGGAACATGGTAGGAGACAGACATATATATATATATATAAACATTAATCCGTAATGTAGAAGTTTCTTTCGGTGTTCTTTTTATGTTTTTAGTTAATTTATGTTCACAATGTCAAGCGTGATATCTAAATCTTAGATATCTCGCTAAACATTATGAAGAAAAAATAACTAAAAACATGGAAGATTATGAAAAGAAACTCCGTTTTTTTTATTTTTTATGTGTCTGTTTCTCGATGGACACCATTTTCAACTCCGAGTAACACTCCCGGCATGGCATGGCATGGCGGGGCGTGGCCTATTTTGCCTTTCTTGTTATATTGATTGATTGCTATATCAAACAACTAGACTACTTACTGCTTACTTACGTACATGTAATTACATTATGACTTCGAGAACAGAAAAAGAAACACTAGAATTTCTTTAGGGCCTTGTTTTGCTTTTATTGGTATGTGGATCTTCAGAGCATTCCTCTCCTTTTTATTGGGTAAACCTATTATTACAGATTTACAGCTTTTTCTCCCTTTAATTCTTCTGACTTGAGGAAATGGAATCCTACTTTTGTACAACATTTAAATCTACTTCCTTAAAAAAGGAACTTACTAAACAACCAAGTCTAAAACTAATGTTGAAATCGTTTGGTTTAGAACTTAGAAGTAGTTCTCTTAAGAGAGCCCCTCGCCAATGTGACCCGACAAACCAACAAAGAAGAACCTTAACACAAAATCTGTTTTATTGGACAACTCCATCCAATAAGGTTATGACATCATGTTATCTAATTTATTGTTTTCATCAAGTTCGCAATTATTCCAACGGGTAACAATTGCAAATAATGAATTACTGAACGATCAAATGCGCATTTTTAATTGTTTTATCGACAAACTCTATCAGCATTAAATATGCATTTTTAATTCACTATAAATAATATTTGTTTGGATATATAAATAGAATTGGAAAATAATGTCTTACTTACATATGCATGTATACCGTACGTGGCGCATTCAAGAATTTTATTCCGTGGGGTTAAATTTACACTATATTAATATCACCCATTTCGCAAACATTTAATGAGATTATTCTCATTACATTCTAAAATCAATAAGAAATGAAATAGTTATTCAATGGATTATGATATAATAATATCATTCTTTTCATTTTTTTCTTGTTCTATAAATGATTTCACTTTTTTCTGAATAGGGATTTCCTGATTGATGTAATTTGTCTTTTATAAAATACCAAGTATTCATGGAAGACATAGTACAATAGTTTAATGGGCATGTAGCATGCTCACTAATGAGCATGTAGAATAATAAGGCTATCAAGTTAAATACGGAGTAATAACTACATGTGTCAGATGATCTCATTGAATTGAAATAAAGAAATTATCATACTCCCTCCGTCCCGAATTGAATTGCAAACTTTGACTGGCATAAGGATTAAAGAATGACAATAAATGATGCTTTTTTTTACACTTTTGTCCATCTTCCTACAAGTAGATGCTTTTAAATTAATGGGGAAAAAGCAAAAGTAAGGGTAGGTAGATTTGTCATTTTATTCTTATTTACATACTAAAATAGAAGTGAAAAATTATTTTGGGACAACCAAAATAGGAAATTTTGCAAATCAAATTGGGACGGAGGAAGTATATTAGAATAATTAATACTCCGTATATAGAACCAATCAATTACTTGTACGTGGACTGAGATGTTTATTAGTGAGCATGTAACCCTGCATGTTCCATTAAAACTATTGCAAAACTTATACCTCTCTTAATCGATAGACAAACTCTATATATAGGGGTTGGGTGTGGCAGTTGCCCCTACTGTCGCTCTAAATCTACTCCTTGTTTGGGAAAACATAACCCCGACCTCTTCAGGATCACGAGCTCAAAGGACTATTGTCCACTCACCCAACTCATACGAGACACAAAGACTCAATCTAACAATATCACTTTGTATTATGCAATTGAAATGTACAATAGATATTTTACAAGTAACGAGTATTTCACATCACTCTTTGTATATGAGACTACTTCAATCTCACATCCCTCTAGGGGTGGGTTCGGTTCTTTCGATTCAGTTTTGACCTAAAACCAAATATAGAACCAAAGTAAAAAGTTCGGTTCGGTTCAGTTTTACACTCTAAAACTTGGAACCACGGTTTGATTGGTTCGGTTTGTTTCGGTTCGGTTTTGGTTTTATCGATTTTTTATCAGAAAAAATGTCATTCGATTTAAAATTGATATAATAGTTAGATGGATCAAACATATTACATAAAGAATGCAAGCACACTAGAACAAATAAAATAAAAATGAGAAAATAAATATGTCTTGAATTATATATATTGTTATGCGAGATAAATAAGTGTATATATTACTCCCTCCGTCCCTAATAACTTTGCCAAGTTTGACCGGTACGGGGAATAATAAAGTAGAAAATGTGTGGTTGAGATTTATGCAGAGAAGAGAGAATGAACGGGAACCACAAACTCTTAACTTAAAAGGGAAAGTGACAAAGTTAGTGGGACATCCAAAAAAGGAAAGTTGACAAAGTTATAAGGGATGAAGGGAGTATTAATTTACAATGTTTGTTATTAGTTCAAAAAAAGTTCATGAATATATACGTTCTATGTGATATAGTTGAGATGAATATTTATTGTTTTATCAATATAAAAGCTTTAAGTTACATAAAAATAAAATTTAATTACAACTAATAACCAGTAAAAACATATCATCATGCATGCATGCATGCATACATACACACATACACACATAAACACATACACACACACACACAGACATACACACACACACACATACACGCATACATGCATACATGCATACATGCGTACATGCATGCATGCATGCATACATACATACATACATACATACATCCATGCATGCATACATGCATACATACATGCATGCATACATACATGCACGCATACATACATACACGCATACATACATACACGCATACATACATACACGCATACATACATACACACATACATACATACACACATACATACATACACACATACATACATACATACTTGCATGCATACATACATACATACATACATACATACACACACATAAAAGACATAATGGATAAATATTATGAACAATGAATGTGTAGATGAATTTATAAACTAAACTAAATTAAACATAATACAAACATTATTTCTCTAGCACAAGAAAACCAAAGACTATTGATGATATTAGGATTAATTCAAATTAATGCTTAACAATTAAAAATTAAATGTCATATTTTAATTAGTTCAGTTTGCTCGGTTTGTTCGATTCGATTATTTACATTCGATTTTGGTTTTTAGCGGTTCAATTTTATTTGATTGTGGTTCGATTAATTTGATTCGTTTTTCGGTTTTCGGTTTTACAAACCCAATCCTACATCCCTCTCTCAAGGAGGCACTCACTCACTCAAGAGCTTTCCTCAAGGCGCTCTCTCATCACTTGAGGAAGTTCTCACAAGGCTCTCACTCAGGGCTCTCCCTAGGCTCACATCGGAATAAGAGTGTCACCCCTATTTATATTATTCTCTCTAAGACTTTTCTAGAACTTTCTATACACCATCACACTTCTAGAGTCTTTTAAGAAGTATCCACAAACTTCTCTAATCTTTTAGAAGGATCTAGAAAGTTTACATCTCTTCAGAATGTTCTAGAGGCCTCCACACACTTCCACATGATTCTAGCGAATTTCACAGTTCTCTATAAAACTCCATAATGTTCTAGAATATTCTACACTCTTTCACACACTTCTAGATAATTCCACGTCTCTCTAGAAGGTTCCCGAATATTCTAGAGCATTCAATACCTCTCTATACTCTTATAGAGAATTTTAGACATATTCACAAAATTCTAGAATTCTCATGAACTTCTTAATTAAGGAGGGAACCCAAGACTCCTACATGTGTATATCTACTACTTTCAAATGCCTCTAGGTTTGTGACTTTTAATAATGCAACCCTTCAAATTTTGATGGCTAATAATACATCATTGCATAGGGTCATTGTTCTAAAACTTGTTAGACGCTAGTTGGACGGTTGTGGAGCGCCTAGTGCCTAGGCGACTGACTAGGCCAATTTTTTGACCGACTAGGCCGATTAGTGCTCCTCGATTAGGGTCGATTAGGTCGATTTTTAGAACAGTGTATAGGGTTGATTAGTAGCTGAATGTACTACTGAGGGCTTGAGACTAAAGCCCATTGCGTCAAAGCCCAACAAATTAAATATAAAAAATTGTTAGGATTCATAAATAACATTAAGTTTCATTAAATATATACGTGAGAATATTTTGACGTGATTTTCACCATGAGTTATCCGAAAACAGTCTCTATGTGCTTTAATACAGGGGTAAGAATGCGTGCATCCGACCTCCCTTACCCCATCGTAGGTGGGAGCTTTTGCGGCATTGGGATAATGATGATGATGACGATGATATAAAAAACAGGAAAAGTACAGAAAATGTACTTGTGGTTGAGCCTATTTTCAGATAGGGTTATGTGTTTCATTCTTTATCAAAGTGGTTCATGTGTTTGAATTCTATTATCACAAGATGATCATGCCGTTTAAAACGTCTGAAAAAGACCGTTAAAAATAACTCCGATTTTCAAAAGTGCCCGAAAAATTAAAAGAAAATACCGGAAGGTGCGCCTCAATAAGACGACCGCTAGACCATCTTTCTTTTTGTTTTCAGCCACCCTTGTCACCCTTGTCACCCTTGTTCTCTGCACAACTCTCTACCACATAATACTCATTATCTTAATTCACGTGTCGGTCGTACTTTAGGAGAAATACAAAACGGAGGGAGTACAATTTTTAAGTTTCTGCAAATCACTTTACAACCAACTGTTTGAGTAATTTTTAGTTTGTTCTATTCAATTCTATTTAAATATAATTGCAAATCTATAATATGTAATCTGTATGAAACCAGACCAGAAAATTATACTACCTCCATTTTCTTTTAATTATAACATTAAACTTTTTACACTATTCACATATTCTACTTGATTATAATTTATTAATGTATTATAAATTAAATTTTTTAAAAAAATTGTTAAATTCTTCTCATTCTAAATTTTCAAAATATGAATTTTTAAAATTTTGTACTAATAAGGAATGAAAAATATTAATGATCAAACTTGTGCGTTGGCAAATGTGAAATGTTGACGGTTGCAATTAAAAGGGAACGAAAGAAGTATTAAAGAATTCAGTCCAACATGAAATAATAATCCTAGTATTTAGATTTTCCTAGATTTAAGAATTTTATCAATCCAGGACCTGAAAGATAGACGAACCATCAATTCAGGACCTAAAAGATGAAATGTATCAATACAGGACTCGAATGATGAAAATCTATCAATCTAGGACCCAAATGATTGAAAACTATCAATTTAGGACCTAATTTTTTCATAAATTTTATTATTATTTTTATTTTAAAAAAATTAAATAATATTTAGTTTTATTAAACTAATAAACTTTTGTGAAGAAAAATCCACCA